TGTTATACAATTTGAATTTATTTTTTTTATTTTTACTAAAAAGATATTTCTACTAAATTACATAATTTGTTAAAAAAAACAACTTGCTCATTTTTATGTTCTTTTGAATAAGGGCAGACTACCGAGTACTACCATTACAATTTTTTTTAGTAGGAGCTAAGGGGGAAGGGAAGCGTGGGGTGGAATACCATAAATCCCAATGGTGTTCCCCCTTATAGAGGAGGGTGGTACTGCTCTGCCCACCACGTGAAGAACAATAATATAACAATGGATAAATTATTTAAAAATTTTTAATTTGTTAAAAGAAAAGTCAAAAAATTAATATTTAGACTTTATTTGTAAATACTATATTATTCTACATTGTGACTATAAGCAGTGTTAGGGGCACCCGCGTTCTGCACCCTCCGACCAACACTCCTCCTTTCATTGGGCCACGTTATTTTAGTTCAATGAGAGATTGCATTTAAGAGCTTAAACAACCTTACGTGGCCCAATGAAAGGGAGAGTGTTGGCTAGAGAGTGCAAGTGGCGAGTGCCCCTAGCACTGCTCTTGTGACTATAACTATAAATTTTTTTATCTTTTATTATCACAAAATAAACAATAAAACTGCATTGGTCATACTCATATGTAAAATTGATCTTGGGCTCTTCCATATCCATTTTTTAATCAGTAATCAACAAGAAATTATTCCTTGTAATAATCCTTTTTAAAAAATAAATCTCAATAATAAAAGAAATTCTCTTTTTTTCTACCCCAAAAAAAAAAAAGAAATTCTCTTTCCCACCAAACCCACTTTATTTGTGTCCTCCCTAACACAAACTCCTAAATATACCATTTGGATTCCATTTTTTAAGATACACCTTTCCTGTCTTGAATGACCAAAAATGGGTCTTACTGTGGGCTGTTAAAGCGTGTGCTCTCTCAGTGCACGTTTAGCTATCAATATCACACATTAAATAAAAATGAAAAAGAGTATGTCTACATTGTTTTCTTTTTTTTCTTTTTTTTTTTACATAAGTAGTTTGTTACAATTAAGAGGACTAGGGGGAGGGAAAAATAGAGAAGGGGTTGGTAGGGTTTAAATATAATT